GGAGGTCCCTGCCCACCCAAACCAGTCTGTGGCTCCACGAATTCAAACCCCTGGTCAACAGCGGTGGGGGTAGCACTAGCGAAGGCGTTCATCAAAGGAACCACAAAGCCAGATTCCAAAGTTCTGTATTTTTCAAAATAAAGATCACACGTTGTTTAGAGACAATCTACACAAGAGTTACAAAAAATAGTCGCCCAGGCATAAGCATACACAGGTTTGTTAATTATACACATATGGTTACAAGTGTGCTTGCAAAAAAGTTCATTGGAAATATACACAAGGCTCTGTAAATGTACACCGTGTAGTGTTACAATTCTATATTCAAACAAGGAAAATTGACAGTATGTTACATTCACTTACAAGTAGACAAAATGCAAAATACAGTTCATCTTCTGTACAAAAAGGGAAGGTGATTCACACTTTACAAGGTGAAAAGGGACTCTGATTGTAAGGAAAACTAGGGGGTTCTGTACTTTTGCACTTTTTGTTTCTTACTGTCACAAAATAAGCAAAACATTACTTTTTAAGATTCAAAAAAACACTATTTTGAACTGAATCATTTTTGTATAACATTTAGAAAGGATCGCTACTGTTCAACTAGGTGACAAATAAAACCAAGCATTTATTTTTTCTTTTTTTAAACATTAACTAGGCTGTATAAAGAGAACATTTCCTTCAAAAGAAAAAATTTACTTCTGGTTGAAATTACAATTTACAATATACAACACTATATGCTACGACCATAAAAGGTGTGAATATACACTGAAATGCACAGGTTTTGCTAATTCTTTTTTCTTACCAAAAAACGGGTTTATGTCGATTCAAACTTCTCCACATTTACATTACAGAGGTTTACAAATGTACAATTGTACAGTCAGAAGTATGTTCCACTACTAGGGTACATTATAGATACAGATCAGACATCAAAACAAGAAAATACTACAAATTTTTATATATGTAAAGTCTACACCAAGTATACACTATATATTTATAGAAGCAAGACCAAAGCCGAGTTGGATTTTTTTTTTTTTCCTCATGCTAAATAATCAAATTGTGTCTCTCAATGTTAACAGAACAAACTGAGTAGGCAGTAAACAAGTAACACCCGACCCCCACCCCCTCGCTTTAAAAACTTTCTGGGTGTTTATGTTTTCTTCCCCAAAAACGACAGCTAAGCTACCTCCTTTAGCATGTTATACTCAAAAAAAAAAAAAAAAAGCAATTAAAAAGTTTCAAAAACTTAATTCTTTCTTTTTTAAACTGAAGCTTTAGCAAGTTGAATTTTTTTTTAATATTTATAAACAGCGTTAAATGCGTCGTCTGTGCCATTTAACTAAAATTCAAACTTCTTGCTGACTTTTGACTAAAAGGAGAAAAAACAGGTATCTGCAAAAAAGTTGCCTGCGAGGCAGATGAATTAAAAACTTTTTTTGTTTTGTTTTCTTCAAACCAACCACCCTGAAAGTTTCCACATTTGGAATATAGATACAACAGTGAACAAAAATGTGGCCTTCCATGTACATTTGGTACCTATGTACAAGTATTCTATACACCAGTAAAACAGCAGGGCAATTAGTTAATTAAAAAAAATAATTAGTACATGTTATGCATAATAAAATTAAAGAAATTTACAAAGGCTTTTCTTCTTTTTTTTTTTTTTCTTTTTAGCAACCATAAAACATTTTCTAACTGTATATTGGAATATTGTCGGTTGCTGGTTGTAGATGCCGGATGGCCAGTGAGCTCCTCCCCAGGTCGCTGCCTCAGATGATGCCGTTGGGTGGGCCGCAGATGGGCCCGAGGTCCACCCCGTTCTTCATGTAGTATTTCTCCAGCTTGGCCAAAATGTGTTTGCCGTAGGTGTATTTACGCAGGGTGGCGATGTGAGGCCGGATCTAGGAGATAAGAAAGGAGAGCGAGTGAAGTTTAGGAACCCAAATCATGGCCGCAGCAGTGCTGAGCGAGCTCCAGGAGGTCCAGGTCAGGACCACCAGCGGGAGACCGGAAGGTCACAAAATGTCGGAAATATTAGAGCACTGTCATCACCTCAATTACTGTGAGTCAAGTTAACGGTCCGTAACTCACTGATGTCATTTTGAGGAGGACCTTCTGGTCAAGCAAGTGGCATCGTCTCGAGCTGTGTGACTGGAATCCAGTTGGTACTGGGATCCGGCTGGATGTAAGTGTGTGCATGGATACAAGGCCCCAAGAGAGGGGGCTGGGCAGACAGGACCCCTGGGTGCTGGGGCTTCCCAAGGGTGCCCCGACACTCCGCCCCCAGCCCGGGGCAAGCGCACGAAGGCAGAAACGGCGCGGGAAGGGCCCGTGCGGCGGAGCAGCTCTTGCAGAAGGCGAGCAGGGTCCTCTGCCTCCTCCCAGGCTGCGCTGCGGGGGTGAACCGCAGCTGGGTTTCAGAGAGCTACGGGGAGAGGCAGGCGGTGGGCCTGGCCCCAACAGCCGTTTCGTTTCTGAACCTGACAATTAAGGTATTTATTTTAAGCAGGAGTCTGTGGAAGCAGACTTTACACGCTCACGCTACTTGAGAGTAAAGGTCACTTTGAACAGCACTGTAACGACCGTGGGCACGGTAAAACCACCGTCACTGCTGGGCCCCCAAAGGAGGACACCCGTTTTCGTTGTAGTAACACCGTTACGCTGCTGACATTCTCCTGGACAGTTTCAGAGGAACGAGACGTAAGAGCAGTTCATGGCCGTGACTAGATGAGAAACACAATTACACCGGACTTCGTACTCCACAAGTGGAAGCTGCAGGCGGGATGAGAAAACAGCCCGACCCGCTCCTGGGGTGGGAACATCACCAGGGCTGCCCCTGCAACCCCCACGGGAAATCCCTCCCAAGCTCAACCCGACTTCCTCAGCTCAGCCCCTGGCCATTCAAATTCCTCTTTCAGTTCAAGGACCCATCTTGTACTAATCGGAAGTTGATGCCTTGGCCCTCCCCACATCCCCTTTCCAAGAAGGTCTGACTGCTGCTCTGAGGTTAAGGAGAAGAAAAGCTCCCCAGGTCCAACAGTTCATTCCTTGTTCATCTTCACTTCTAAGACTTTTTTTTTTTTTTTTAAACTGACAGAACTGACGGCTAAAATTACTTTTCAATATATTTTTTTTTTTAAATAAAAGCGCTGTCTTTAACAATAACACAAACTGCTTGTTTGTACTAACCGCAATTTTCACAATGCAAAAGCAACAGTCGATATACTCAATTTTCCCAGGCTTTCATTCAGCTGGAATCTTCATACTCAGTCAGTCCCATTTAGCTGTCACCCTGGTTCTATTTTTGACAACCACACTGATAACCTAATTAGCATTTTATTCAAAAGACTTTGCTTGACAGGAAAAAGAACGTCAGTAAAGATCATTTGCGTATTTTATTTTTTTTTTAATATACGTATCTCTACATATAGATTAGCAAAGCTACAGGTCATTCTGCTACTGTTAAACTGTGTATATTCCTTGCCATACATTTTTATTTGATTATCTTTATTATTTCTTTTGGATTAATACAGATTTTGGTTTAAAACAACTACTCTGAATGATTCCTAAACCTAAGGATTAACCTCTCTGAAGATTATTTCAGCTGCATCGATGTTGTTTATATCCTGATCAACTGCCTTGCATTGGTAAAATCTGCTCCTTCGCACAGAAAACACCCACTTTTTTTTACAGGGGAAAAAAAAAAAATCACTTGCTCCATTTTACTCTAGGATTCTTAAATACAATTGATTTCATTGGGCTTTGAACACCCAGTTCCTCTTAAAAAAAAGTAAATATGGGGTTTTCCAAGCCAGCTTTAGTCAGTGTTTTATTATTAGTAAGAGGTCTTGCTCTAGCTGGTATTTTTCACGAAGTAACAGACCCCTAAAACATGTGACTGAAGAAAATAATCTCAGTTCCACTCCACATTTAAAAGCCTATTTGCTTCCCATTCATTACAGTTACAAAGACCCACAAACGTGCCCTTTAAAAGCAGGGAAATGAAGACATCGCCTGATCTTTAGAGCCTGCTGCCCCAAGGGAGGCACACAGCCCCGGGAGGGAGGGAGGGCTGGCAGCAACGCACGTTTAATTCCAAAACGTCTTCATTTTTGACAAATATCAAGTCCTGAAACCATTACGCATCTCAAAACTGCAGCATAACGCTAAACCGTGGAAGTCTCTCATCAAAATCGTATTCAAAACAGAGAAGTAGAGAATTTGATTAGTGACTCCAGGCTCAGACGCTACAGCCTGTCAGCATGATGTCACAGCCAGCCCGACCGTCCTGATCCGGGCTGTACAGGGGACGTGACGCGACACGGCAGCGCCGACAGCCCTCGGAAACGCGACCAGCAGGTCCACGCTCGGGGTTCAGCGGTACGGAGGTCTGGCTCGGCTCCACTGAGCGCATTAAACTGCTCTCATCAGCGAACGCTGTTCTCAGTGAGGGCAAGTGTGTCGTCATCGCCAGACCCCACAGCGCTGCTGCAGTACAAGTCTTGGCGGATTTTAGCAGCGTTTGCTACGCCACGAGTGCGGAACTAGGTTACTGGGTCAGAAGAGATTGCTAGAAGCAACCAGCTAGTTTTAAGTCCAAATGGCATCTCGTTATTTCACATTTTCATATTTCAGCTACTACTGAAATATGCAACTTTGAAATACCTCCATCGTTAGGAAATTCTAATGGCAAAAGCAATCACCTCGGCCTAATTTTCTCTCCGCAACCAGCGTGGCGGTGACAAGCCTCACATCCTTATCAATCGACAGCAGCTGCTTACCTTGTGCATGACAATCTTCCGCTGAGCTGGTTCTGCCACATCGATCATCTTCTGTACCACGTAGTTGGCGTACTGATCTTTCATCATGGTGTATAAGGCACTGTGAGGGCCATCATTCATAGTGCACACCTCATCAATCAACATGGCACGCTCCGTACGGGAGGCGTGAGTAACGCATTTCTCCACCACGTTGCTGTAACAATAAAAGAAGGACAATCTGTGAGTAACAACATCTCTACTGGGCTTTTCGTTCAACCCCAAGGAGGTCTCTTACGCTTCTAGCAAGGACAGACCGTTTGGGAGACACATACGTGCTGGCACAGCAATTCAGCAACGTGAAAGAAAGGAGCAGCCCAAGGATTTGGGGATCTGAGTGGGAATTTGGGTAAAGGACCAGTTCAGGTTTTATTTCACCCAAAATTATGCAACTCTGCAACGATGCTGTGTTTTGAGATCAGCGCCTGTTCTCACCGCATGCCCGTTAGAGCAGCAGCAGAGTTGTTCTTTGTTTGGTTTTCTCAGTACTGGAGCTTGACGGGAACGGAGGTCCAAGGTTAGAACAACAGGGAAATGCAATTCAGGAACGAAAGATCTCACCAAAGGCAGAGAATTTCCAAAATTCCTGAACGTATTACATGACTAGCCTCTGCTCTCCGGAGAGCCAAGTTAAACAGGACATATGAAAGGGGACGGAGAGTTGTGCGAGTCTTATCTTCTGCATCCCTGACTGAATCATAAAATTACCAAGTGGTTTGCTCAGCTCAGGGAAAATCCTACACTAATTAACGCTCCACCCAGAAAGAAGGTTAGGGAAAAAAAAAAAAAAAAAGCAAGGCAAGTCGGGGAGGAAGAAACTGAAATTACAATATTAAGACCACACTCTTCTCATTCTTGTTAATATTACACTTCCATTGTGTCCGTAAGTATTAAAGCACTATTTCACACCAATCATAAAAAGGTGAGAGTATTGAGCCTTTGAAGGGTTGAGCCTTCATGTTCAAATGGCTAGACACACACACAAAAGGAAATTACAAATGTGGGAAGTACTATTAGTCTGGACATCCGCTAAGGTACTGGGATTTTGCTTCTACCCGTGTGTAGCTCTGTAGCATCTGGACTAATAACCCCAGAGTGCTGCAGCTTCCCTACAAGGATATCGTTACGCATGTGTCTCAAAAAGGACTGCAAGACTTGGCATATAAAAAGCACAGATTCTTCTGTGAAAAGTGGGATGAAAAAGAATTGATTTCCCAAACTCCCTTGTGGCTTGACACAGCACCCCAGAGGCAGTGAAATGCTCTATGGCATGTTATTATCCAAGGGATAGCGACCACTTAAAAACCACCAGAACAAAACAAAACAAAACAAAACAAAAAAATCACACACACACAAAAACTCTTGGTCAAGTTCAGGAGCTTGGATTAGAGCTGCTCTTCCACACCTTCATCCTCCTTCATTACAAGTAAAACTTACCTGGCCAGTCACTCATCCCACTTTACAAGCAGTTATACACAGCATTCTGTTGTTAAGCAAAAAGTTATTTTCATCTCCTTTCACCTGCCTACACCCCACCCCTAACTCTTCTGCAACTCTAGCGCGTGTCCATGCTCCCACGGGGCGTGGAGACTTTAAGGAACAGATTCATACCTAGCAAATTTATGTTGACTCAACACGAGCACGTTGCCTCTAATTTCTGCTACAATCTTGCTCTTATCCTCAGGCCGACCATGTTCTAGTACATGCTGGATAACATAGTTCCCGTACTGATCCTGTTTGAGAGACAGCAGAAGCGTGTGACAAAACGTGGACAGGAACCATCATACCAAACCAGTTCCCAACATGCATTAAGACTTACAAACTTGAACTAAGCACTAGTTAAAATAGCTACTGTATAAATCATGTCAATACTTTCTACGTCTACAAAAATGTGCATTCTAGAGTTTTACCACGAGGTAAAATACATCTTTGTACCAATTATAAAACGTCAAACAATTTCCTTGAACACAACTTGTCAATACTCTGCTTATTTCAAGTTTCTTTGCTTTCTCCAGGTTCAAACACCGCAAATCTCATGTCCTGGAGGGCTGTGCCGTGGTTCTAGCTATGGGAGACTGTTCATATTCTGAATGTGTGTATATTCAGATCACAAGAGATGTATTTTCCCTGTTGACAACACCAGAGGCATGACGGCGCCTCACTTCCATGCACTTCCCACTTTCCACGTGCTAAATTTGCGAGCATACAGGACAGGGTTTATTTGCTGTTATATTCATCGTGTCCCAACACCAGAATTCTAGAAAAACAAGTTCTCAGAAGGACTGAGGAAAGGCAGCCAGGAAGGGGGTGTGCATAAAGCCAGCACATTTTTAAGAACCCCAATTACTTGGCACTTCCTTTTTCTAGGAGTAATCAGCTCTTCCCATCAACTCTCTTCAATTCTTACTTGCCCTGTACCTTCTGGAGTGAAGCATTAGGACACACACCCACTCAGTACTTCAGATCCTCTTCAAAAAGGAAAAGTAACTGCACCTTTGATACCTGCTGGATATTTGCACACAGCCAAACCAATTAGTGAAGGTGCGTTTCTTGTCTGCCCTGTTCTTTCCCATTCCTCCTCAGGAACGGAGTCCTTGTGTTCAGACCACCCCAGCAGCTCTACGCCTGCAGCCCCAAACAGGCTGCCAGGAGCGTCCCTAATACAGAGCAGAACCAAGAACCATCTCACTGCCCCCCCATTCCCCCTTCCCACGCTGACCTGAACAAGCTGCTCGGTGTGTTGGTGAAGTTCCTCCAAGATGGGAAGGGTCTGCTCAGGAAGACAGTGCTCGAGGATCCTCTGGATCACACGACAGCCGTATGGATGCGTAGACAGCGCAAAAACCTGCGTTCAACAAAGACGGACAAGCACAGGCAGCAACGCATCTGTTAGTCTTTGGGAATCCATAAACCCTTTCAGAACTAAATGAACACGTGGTGGTTTTTCCCAGGCACGGAGGTAACACCACCTTGCAGCACAGCAGCTCCAGGTAGAATGAACTGGAACTGGAAACATCTGCTCCCCACTGCCACAGGACTAACTGGGTGATCGCAGGCACATCACACGCCTACCTGTGCTCCAGCTTCCCCGTTCATCTAACAGGAAAACAATGGTAAAACCTCTTGACTAATAAATGAACACTGGGATAGCCAAGCGTTATTAGAAGCTGTGTTAAAACACTGTTGCAGAAGAATAAATCCAGCATACTGTTTGCCAGCTATGTATTTTAGAGCTATGTTAAGAAATGGTACGAACCGGAAAGGTTAAAAATGTTCAGTAAAGGATTTTCCTCAACTATTTGGATTTGTTTAAAAGCCTTAACTGCGCTGAGGAGAAGTGACAACAAAGAACCTTCTTTCTCATTTCTAACGGATTAACAAGTCTGTTGGTAAGAACATGACACATTTTATTACTGCTGCACAGTTTTCTGTCTAAAGCACAAAGTCCTCTTTGGTTGTTTAAAATTAACGAAAGTAGCAAATCCAAGCACTGAAGTTAAATTGACAGGCTACAAATTACTATTGAGTAAACCGTGCAGGAAAACAGGACTTGAAGTGCAATTAACTGCAGAAAAATAGTCTTGAGGTGATAAATTTAATCCTTCATATGAAAGTTCATATGAAACTGGGAGAGCTGGTCAAAGAAATGTCAGTGCCATCAACCCAGTTCCCAGAGGTGCTTCTGCCTTGCCTAACTCCCTGGTGGAGGGTCCAAAGCGAAACTCTAACCAATAAATCTGCTGAGCATGTTTCCAGCTAGAATCCTCCTTGTTTTGACACAGCCAAGCAAGTCCCCACTTTCACAGCTCTTCCAGGAGCAGCCAAAGTAATAAAGCCTGGTTCCTGCTAGAATAACCCTGGGCTATCTTTGCATCCCTGTGGCAAAACCTTCAATACTTCAAAGTCCCCTTTCCAAAGCCAATTAAGTTGAAGTTGGAAACGCCCAAACCAGCGTTTCTGTAATGGAAGACAAGCTGACTACAGGCAGAACAAAGCCAGCTACACAACTGATATCCAGGGCAACAGTTCAGGAGAGGATACCAAGAAAAAACTAGGAGAGTGAAGCACAAGTGACTGCAGATGAAACTCGTGTTTTTCCCCTTGTCCAAGACCCTTGGGAACTGGTGGTCCTCTAACCTGTCCTCACAGAGAGGATCAAAATGAAAATTTATCCATCACAAAACTCTGCTCAGCACCTTTACTATGAAGGTGGATTAAACGAGAGACCTGTTTTCCCCTCCGCCAGTGAAAAAATACTTCATGTCCCAGGAAAACAGAGTTTTGCAAGGATGTTTTGCTGTGATATACCTGCACAAAAATGCTGGCAGAGACATGACCAAAGAGTTTCTCTTTGCTGCAGAACCTTTTCAACTGATGCTCGCTCAAATTTAAAATTCATAATATTTCAAAACGCTACAGCCACCATCATGCTATTCAAAGCAAGATACAAGAATACAAAGAATGAGAGTCAGTATATTGGTTAAGGCCTTACCTGTCCCTTAAACGCATCGATGATAAACTGCAGGGACTGAGGCTGCACACACTCGATGCACTTCTGCACCACGTGGTTACCGTTCTGGTCTTTAACGCACTTCAGGACGTGGCCGTCCAACTCCCGTACCATCTCATTCTATTAGGAGGAGAGAAAGACAAACAGAAAGCACCACCAGGATTCACGGCTGATAAATGCCAAGTTTTCACTGCTAAACGTGGTAAAGAATAGGAAAGGGGCGAAGGATGCACTGATGTATTTCAAACTGGATGTTTTCCAGTGTCCGAGTGCTGAGATGAAGCCTGCTGTGGTGCAGAAACCACCAAGAAAAACACTATTACGAAATGAAGATGAAGCACTCGTTTCATTAAACACAAGTGTCCTCTTACAAGTTAAGTATCGAAATTTAAGAAATTTTACTGATACACAACTTGACTGTGCATCCCCCATTCCATCCTCTGCTCCCCTGAACAAGAAAAATATAAAATGCCCAAAATTCACAAACTTTTTGAGTTATCAGCTTCATCTGTCACTAAAATGGGATCAGCACTGGGATAAGAACCTGCTAGTATTTTACATAGGCAAAGTAATGTTGTACGATAATTAAGGAAACCAAGATGATGAGGTGTAGATACGACTAAAGTAGCACACATGCAGGCTAAAAGATTCACAATTGGGAAACAGAGAATGACAGTTTTTGGGAATTTAGTAACACCACAATACTGGGACAAGTTCAGTTTTGCAGCTGATACAAAACCAGGCATTTCAGGAGTACAACGTACTCAGAACTACCGTTCTGGAAGTAGACAATTAGTAAATCCTCAGATCAGCAGTGCCGGAGTTTGGGCCACCACGTTAAGGCAACAGCTTAGCCCAGGCTGGACCTAAAGGGAAAATGCACTCCTAAAGCCTCTTTCAGTTTTTTAATTTAATAACCTACATTGAGATTCCTGTATTACAGCTCCTTACACCTTTATTAGCTAGCTTGCCTAGCGTATTTTTCATCTTAATTCATTGTTCATAAAACCCTGGAGGAATTGCTTTATTAATGAGCTTCGAGTGGGACTCTGGCTATCATCCACATCTCTCCAGTGCCAGGCCTGGCTCGACAGGAACTAGGAGCTGCTTGTACATCTCGCTGCAGGAAAGCGGAATATTGACCCACATATCAAAGCAATGAGATCTCAGTGAATATTAAAGGCAAAACTCTGGCACTGCTTCCTTCAAGAGATTTAAAAATATCTTTTAATTCACCATCATTCACAGTTTCCCCTCATACATAATCTGATTTCAGGGAATTAAGAAAACCAACACCATTACCAGTTAAGTGGAACAAGGAGATGACGACGAGAGCCACAGGCAGTGTCACGTACTTATCATGCACACGAAACGTAACAAACATGCCGTAAACCAAACCAAAAGAACACCAGCCACAAGAGGAACAGAAGGTCGCAGTTCAGGTCACCAAACGGCAAGGAACGTTAAACATCAAGAAGAAAGTTAAAATTGAGACTTACAATTACCTGCTGGTCTGGGGGAATAAACTCAAGGGCCTTCTGGATCACCCTGCAGCCGTACATCTGCAGAGCCAGGGACAGAACGTGCCCACGGATGCGTTCTGCCAAGGCTAACTTCTGTTCCAGGCTGCCAAACTGGGGAGACGAAACCCAATCACTACAAGCACAAAACCCCTCACGTGGCCGAGCGGCACGGCAGCCCTCCCACACCGTCACACAGAAGTGTTAAAGAAGAAACAGTGTGCCTACTGAACAGAACGAAAATACACCAGCAGCACCTCGATGGATGTGAGCAGGCACAAGCCAGACGTCTGTTCCATGTCCATCAGACATGCCTTACACTTGTGAAACAAACTCCAGAGTCAAAGCTGCTGGAGCCACCAGGGTGACATGTGCCAGATCGCTAACCCTTCCCAGGGTCGCTATAAAACTCCTGGATAAAAGAACCACCAAGGCTTGCTGGAGAAGAAGAGAGCAGCTTCAAGAAGGAGAGATGGGCGTCTGCGCAACCTCCTGTATGAAAACACAATGCCGCCTTCCAGCGGATGCTGCTCACAGGAAAACTTTCTCTTTTGTTCCTAAATACCTGACTACTGACAGCCCCGCACAGCATCCCTGAAAAGTCTCCTTGGACCTACCTCTCCTGGCTATGTTGCTATTTATCCCTACACCTTTTGCCATCTCAAAGCAAAGGGTTACTTTTGAGATGAATCTTTACGAGTACCACACCTCCGTCACCCCAACGGGAATGACGCAGCAGGCCATGGGGAGGAGACGACATCAGCACTGACTGATACCCATCGTTTTAGCCAAAGAGCAGGGTTCCTACGAGTTCGTTCGCTACCTCAGGACAGCAGGGATCCGAGTAAGACTTGCAAAGAGGAGAACGTAGACTTACTTCGAAGAACTTCTGGATGACGTAATTTCCAAATACATCAACCATCAACTGATAAGCTGCCTGGAGGATCTCGTTGAACACAAGCTGACGTTCTGCTGGGGTAGCGCGCTCCAGTTTCAGCTGAATAAACCTGAAAAATAGGGCTGGTGTGGAGCCACGGGCATACGTGCTCGCAATGCAGTTAATACAAATCTATTCAAAGCTTCATACACTGAGCTGTTGCAAAACACAAATCTTTAACACGCAGTTGCCCTATGCGGCTATCTGAAACCTCGGGGTGACCACAGCCATGAGGTCCATGGCCACAGGTCACTGTTGGTATCCCAAAATCTGCTCGTTCCAAGCAAAGCAGATCTCAGTGGAGTAATACAGCAAGGTCTCGCGTCCAGGCAGCTCTTTAAAATGAGCTAAACTATGCCAGTGGGACTAGCACCAAATTACAAAGTAAGGAAGCTCCTCCGTAGAGAGGGGACTCCTGCTCCCAGAATTTGTCCCCAGTCTTTAAAAAGGAGGGTCAGAGTGTTACACTACTCCTCCTTTTCCCTCTTCTGCCGCTTTGCTTCAGGACGTGATGCAAACAGCAGATGACACTAAGTCAAAGCGCAGCTGTCCCGAAAAGCTTCCCACAGCGCACGGTTTTTAATCCCACCTGGATCCATGCTGATCTTGAGAGAACTCCATGATGTGCCCAGCAATCTCCCTCAGCTGTAAATTAGGGTACCGGTTATTGCGAAAGTCTTCGAGCAGCCTGCTTCGGCCGGAGGGCATAACGTCAGACATCCCGTAGCGCAAGCGAGAGGACGGGAAGAGCGGGGCGGGAGGCCCGGCTTGCGCGGGGTTACTTGGCTTCAGCGCCTGGAGCGGCAGAGATGTAACGGCCGCTCCCATTTGTGAGCCCTCCTGCAAATCATAAAAACAAGGGTATTTCACAAGATGAAATAAAGCGGCCGAGGGAGTAATTTACAACTTGTGCGTGTCATTTTACTTCTAATTACTCCTTTTCCACCGAGATGGGTTTCCGCCGTTGTTCAACTAGGAAGTGGTCTCAGCCAAGGTAAATGAACTGCCCCCAAAACAATTTCGGTGGGGACGTGCTCAAGCATCGTTCCTTAGTACAGCACCGTTGTGTTAAGTCAGGAACAGCTATAGATTTCAGCAGGGAACAGACTGTAACAACTTCTGTTTCTCGCTGTCTCAAAACTGTCTAAAACAGACAAACGACAATCCCACCACTTGAATCTTTTCACTAACTTGCTGCTTCCGATTACCTTATCCTCCATCCTTAGGGTTTTTTCACCTATCCTGCTGCTGCGGGAAGGACGGATTTAAAAGAAATGTAGTGGGAACAGAGTTAAGATGAAATTAGGTAAGAAAAAGGTGGCAAGAAGCAAGTATAAACATTTTGGATATAAAAACCAAATCACTATTAAAACGAGGTAAATAACAATAAATTAAAGACAAATAAATACTTTTTAAAATCCTGTGCTTTTACAAACGCCCTAAAGATTTTCACCCACATTAAGACAGCCGCCGAGTTACCCCATGCCAGGGATACGGGGAACAGGCAGCGCTTCATCGTACAGTTAGCAAACCACAAGCGTTCCTTGTTAAGGAACCAACTTAAATCTTTAAATGCCGTTTCCTTGCCTGCAATTTTTCGAGATTTGCTTCAAGCTATGGCAGAGGACTCTTCCCTTTCTTGCAGGGCTCGGGATCCCTCTGCTGGTCAAAGACCGCAAGATGCCTTGAGCGAGTACGGGTTTTTCCTGGGTGGGACAAAGTCCTCCCAAGAAAAATGTTCTTATCGCATGGGAACCTGCCGCCTGAAAGGCCAATGTGAGGCAGAGAGGGCAAACCACCTGGAAAAAAAAAAAAGCTAGAAGAATTTGCATGGGAAAGACCTTCAAGGCAAACATCAGTAGGGCTGTCTGCAAAGGGAACAGACCGGGCATATGACAGTGTCTAAAATAAAAATATTAAATAATAATAAAAAAAGAGCGGAGTGAACTGCAGTCCTCTGCCATCAATGCCTGAAGGAAGCTCCCGCGCAGGAAACACTGTATGAGAATGAAGCACGTGGTAACGGCCTAGCGAAGTGCCCGTTTCTGAGCTGGGCTAACGTGTTCTGACTTCTCCCGAGCTGGTGCCAAACCTCCCCCTTCTCGAGGAGGAGACCTGAGAGCTTCTTGATCACGTCTCTGTCTTACAGTGCCTTGCCAACGGTGTGGCCATCATCTTCTCTATCTTCTTCATTGAGCAAGAACTCCAAAGAGTGACCAAGTGATATTCCATACTGCTGGAAGGACCAGGATATTCAAGGGAAGAGTAAATCACCTCTTGGGTAAAGGGACTGATGTTCTCCATGGCATTCAAAGAGCTCAGAATTACGGCTTGTTTTTTGAAAGCCTGGAGCAAGAGTTATAGCACCAAGGTGCTGAAGGGGAAACTAGTCCCTGATCATCTGCAAATGGCTGTAAGAGGAAAGGGTTCAGCACTCACACTGTTATCACCTATGCCTTATCTCTTAGCGAAGAGGAAAAGCGCAGTTTGTACAGACAAAGTCTTCTCTGTCAGAGGTTTTCTGAGAAAAACCTTCTGATCTTTTTGGAGATTAAAAATAAACCACAAATTACTCCAGTTTTCTACCCCTCTCTCTCTCTTGCGATGGAGATGCTGACTGCAGGTCAGCCGCAGCATACTGAGAATTAAGGGACTGGGGGGGGGACGGGTTTCCTAAATCAAGCAAGCGCTTCTGAACCACATCTGTCAACCACCAAGGGCCAGAAACCTCGGAGCACCCCAAGTTCCTTTACCCCAACGTGTGGCTGGGAATACAGTGACTTTGCCAAATCCCAGACTTCAGTGGGATCTCACCAATAACTACAACGAAACAACTCCTTGTTCAAGAGCAGTACACAGAGCCTGGAAGCTCCTGAAGCTCTTAGGGACACTAAGGTAGAATAAAGGCACAAAAACCCCAAAGAAGGGACAGGGCTCCTGCAAGATGTTGGCACTGAGAGTTTCTCCTGCATCCTCACCCACAAGAAACTTCAAAAGGGGAGCGTGCAAACTGTGCCGAGACATCCTATCGTGCCAACACCGCGCTGCCCATGCAAAACACTCGGCATCCACGTACGACAGCAAACCAGCGCTGTATACAGTACACGGAGGTTGTACAGGAGGGCCAGCTGTGGTGCGGTTCTGTCTCTGAACATATCGACCGTAGTTTCTTAAAAGCGTCTGGGATATGTCAGGAAAAATCTGTATCTGGGGAGGACAAAGCGCACAGCCTCTTCATCCTGGGGACTCCAAGGTGGACACGTTACTCAGCCCTAACAACTGAGCGTTTCCTATTTTGAAATGGTAAGTCATCTTCTCAGTGCTTGCTGGGACGCTTGAGACAGAGGTTAACCTGAAAGAATTACTGATTTCAGGGAAAGAAAAGGACAATGAAAGGATGAATCAAGAAGAAAACACAGGGGAAGAAACACAAAGGCTGCTGTCTGAAAACAAAGCACTTCTTAAGTGAGCTTCCAGGGGACTTTTACAGGGCCCTCAAATTGCTCTGCAAGGCAGGAGCGCGGTGTGAGAAACGCCAGAACAATCGCAGAGAGAGGAAAGTGAAGACATGGCTGTGTGAGAAAGCAGGCGGCGAAGAC